ATTCAACCATCCATCAATAGATAGAGACATTTATTAGTAGAAGATGCCAACCATCCTTACAGCATCTTTAGGCATCAGTGCCAAATGTATGTACATATACAACTTCAATTAATTGTTATTAATTAGGTGCTCTTCACAATGAATACAAATCATTATCATTAGAGCGTATATCTAGTAGAAATGAAAGATATCACGTGAAAGAGCGCCCTCTATGGGTAAATAGATCCACAGTGGTGTCGCAAAGAGAGTCTCATACATACACCTGACTAGTAGGTCTGTTTATTTTCTCAGAGTATACTTATTATTTTGGGAAAACTACTACCAAGAGAAAAATATGGTAGTTAATTATATTCACAAAAATGTGATAATTTCAATTCTCCTCAAACTACTGGTATTGCCATGACAACCTACCTCACTGACATCACTACTAAATCTTTGTAAATCGCAACTTGCCAGTGAACTACGCCGGCTTCCAGTGCTCGCTGTTAAACTTCCCTCTGTTTTCACCACGTTTGACTTGTCTTCTATGAAGTAAAAATGAAAAAAAAAATTTATAATTTCAAGTAACAAGAATAGTTAATGATATTTTTTTTCCATTTTCTATATAACGATCAATGTTGGCTTTAATCGTTTACTACAAAACCCGAACTAAGTATATTATTATAGATTAGAAACAGAAATGAGGAATACAAATATTATTTTTACCTTTTTTCTCTTTCTTCTCAAAGCTGGAAGACTTGGTGGCTTTTTTACCAGTTTTGTCTGAGATAGCGAAAATATAAAACTTCAATCATTTTTCAGAAATGAAAACAAATGACATGGGTTGTTAACCTTTTGAGTGCCACAATTTTTCCCACCCAGATTTTGCTTGTTTTTTTGTTTTTTTATTTTTCTGTAATTTTGGACCAAATGGACATAATTTCGTCATTTAAAAATTTATATGAGGTTTTATTTTGTGAATGGTGACAAATTTTGGCTTTGGTGCTCAAATGGTTAATGATATGCAAATTATATAATTAATATGCACATATGGTATATAGAACTATTTTGTGAAAGGTGGCACAAGTTGACTTTGGTGCTCAAATGGTTAATGATATGCAAATTACCTAATTAATATGCACAGATGGTATATAGAACTATTTTGTGAATGGTGACAAAAGTTGACTTTGATGTTTAAAGGGTTAATGATATGCAAATTACCTAATTAATATGCACAGACGATATAGAACTATTTTGTGAATGGTGATAAAAGTTGACTTTGGTGCTTAAATGGTTAACGATATGCAAATTACCTATTTAATATGCACAGATGGTATATAGAACTATTTTGTGAATGGTGACAAAAGTTGACTTTGGTGATCAAAGGGTTGATATGCAAATTACCTAATTAATATGCACAGATGATATATAGAACTATTTTGTGAATGGTGACAAAAGTTGACTTTGGTGATCAAAGGGTTAATGATATGCAAATTACCTAATTAATATGCACAGATGGTATATAGAACTATTTTGTGAATGGTGACAAAAGTTGACTT